ACCAACATACCACCTAGTGGCACCCAGCTGTCAATATTTTGAGAGAGATTTCAATTTCTTCTTTTTCTTCAGGTATTTTTGCCACACGGCACTTGCATTTGCCTGAGAGAAGAGAGACAGAGGGAAAGGCAAAGTGAGAAATCACTCCCAAGGAGGGATTGCCTGCAATAATCCCTCCTCTTTCAGTCTCTTCCTGGGATTTTTGGCACACACACACACACACACACACACACACACACACATATGCTCAGTGTGTTTCAAGCCTCCAAGTTCAGGGTTCAAACCACGGTCAGCCATGTGACAGTCCAGCAATGTAACCACTATGCCATCTGCTGGTCCCTGAGTTTTTAATTGATTTTATTGTGTTCTTCATTTCCAAAAGTTCTGTTTGACTCTTTTTAAGGGTGTCTCTTTCTTTATTGAATTCCTCATTCATGATTTGAAATGATCTTATTTCCTGGAATTAATTGCATCTCATTGAGTTTTGTCGCAATGAATGTTTAGAATTCTTCTGACATTTTTGTGAATTCTTTCATGTTGTCCATTGTTGGTGAGTGATCACTGTATTCTTTCAGCAAAGTGTTATTACCTTGTTTTCTTATGTTTCTTCTGTCTGTTGATTTTTGGTCATCTGTTGCAGTATTCAAGTTTTTCTATTTATCAGAGAAAACTTATTACTATCATAGGAGGGACTATCACCCTTGGATTCTGAGCATGTTCCTGTAAGAGGATTTTCTCTTCAGATCTGAGCAGATAAAGTTTATATAGGTAGCGTCAGCTGGCTGGCTCTTCTACCAACCTTTCAGCCTCTTATGAGCTGGAGATAAATTAAGGAGATATGATTAGTGAAGAGGCTTAAGTTGCAGAATGCACCTTGCAGCTGTGGCTGGAGGGCTCCATGTTGGAAAGGCAAACCCAGAGTGTGAGGGGATGGGGCTGATCTCAGGAGGAAAGTCCTGCTGAGACTGCAGCAAAAATGTGTCATGACTTTTCTGATGACCCAATAGATATATTTGTCCAATTTTTTGGTTAGGTGTTTTTTATTCATATCTTTCCAAATATATATATATATATATATATATATATATACACATACACACACACACACACACACACACACACACACACATATATAGAAAAAGCAAAATAAAATTTTAGAACATATTGTTCACCCAAAATTATTAGTGATAATTTCCAGAGGTCCCTAAAAATTTCAAAGACCCTTGTTTTCACCTAATAAAAAAATGCTAGAGGATCCAGGCTCGTGACCTCGTGGTTAAGGAAGACAGATCTCACATGGCCAATTGCTATTCAAATTCAGGCCCTGGTAACTTGAAAAATACACCAAATATGTATGGGAACACACCCCAAATCTTGACAGGATGGAGAGGTGGAGGGGAAGGGGTGGCAGCATGACTATACCCGAAGTGCTTTCTCTCTCCCCTTTTCTCTCTCTCTAGTAAGTGCATGTGTCCTCTGACAATTAAAGATATTAGAAATAATTAGCTTCGCATGATGTATTAGTAGTGTATCAGTTGTATGGAAAAAGTTTTCAAATTAGATGAGACATCCAGTCTTCCTCAGGATAATTTTTTGGGGTAAAATATTAATATGAGGCCAGCTCTGTGGCAGACTGGTTAAGCAATCTGGATTCCACATGGCACACTGTGCAGCTGAGTCCTGGAAACTGTGGCTTGAATAACATGCCATATGTCTGTATAGCCATATCAACAATCCTGACTGGATGGAGAAATGAAGAAGAGATTGCAATTTGATCATATTCTACTAGGGTGTTCTTTCTCCCTCTCCTTCTTTCTGTGTGTCTTTCTCTATGGTGAGTACGCATGTCCTCTGGCAAATAAAAAAGAATATATATATATATATGTACAATATATATCTGTGTATGAATATGTATATATACATATATGTGCATATATATTAATATGAATATGCCATAAATTGTATGCATAATAGAAATTTCCAAGTTTTTGAAGTCAATTCCATTTTCACAGCATGTTCAAGCAATGAAGGAAACATTGATGAAAATCTGCCAAGTTTTCCTATAATCATCACTGTCCCAGCAGTGCTTTGCTTAATCAGATTAGAGAACAATAAAATGTTATTAGTCATAATTTTAGTTATCATTTAAAATGTTGATGGGTCATTTTGTGGAATGGTGGTTAAGATGGCTGCATATAATGTCGCTGACTGTGCAATTAAATTCTCGGACCTTGAGGCTTGGGAAACACACTGCACTCCTGTGTTTTCATGCCCACAATCTGAAAAGAGAAAGAAATGGAAGAGAAGGGGTACTGCATGACCATTCCTCATGGGGGATGCTTTCTCACTTTCTCTGTCTCTCTCTCTCTCTCTCTCTCTCTGTCACTCTCTGACAAATGCATGCACCTTCTGGCAAATTTTTTTTTTTTTAAATGTTGACCACAGTCCTATTTCATTCACATTTGAATCGAACATCTTCTAGACTAGTAGTTCTTAATTGGTACAGAATTGTTCATTAAATTAAAAAAATGTATTTATACCTTCTACCAAACTTACTGAATCCCTTTGTTTAAGTTTTTGATATAAAAGTTTGTCTCAGAATTATGTGGCACTTCCAGGTTTATTACATTTTTGTCTCCTTTTGGGGGAAATGACTTTACTATAATGAATAAGCTTTGAAAACATTGTAAGAGAAAGAAGTCAGTAATAAATAATCACATACTATGTATGATTCTAATCATCTGAAATCTGGAACACGGAGATCTATTGAGACAGAAAGTAGATTTGTGGTACTTGGGGATGGGGTGGAGCCCTAAGATATGAGCAGTAGAGGATTGGCAGCTGAAAAACACCTTGTTTCTTCTTGAAGTCATAAAAATGTATTAAAGTTGATTGTGAAAATAGTACCACAAAATAATAAATACATAAAATATACTATGCTAATATACCAAAAACTACTTCAAATGGATGATTTATACTGTATGCCAAGTATATATCAATGATATATTAAAAATAGGTTATGGAACTGTAGACCACCACTGAGTGTACAAAACAAATATTGATAAATATTGTGTGTGTGTGTATATATATATATATATATATATATATATCAGGAGTGGTGTACTTTGTCAAAAATGTTGTATATGGTATAATCCTTGATTCAGTTCTTCCACACTGCATGCATACTTTGAAAATCTATGTTGTCCACCACAAATATATACAACAATGAAGTATAAATAAGAAAATATAACTAAAACAAAACAGATAAAAATGTCAAAAGAATGAAAATGCAGCATGCAGATGGCTTCATGGTCTGGATGTTAAGGCAGCTGCATTGCATTTGGCCGACAGCCCAGTCTGGTGGCTTAAGAAACACACCAGGTATTTGTGCATGTGTGCTGAAAATAACAAAAAGAAGGATATGAAGAAGGGATTGTGGCATGACTGTTCCCCACAGGGAAAGCACGCTCTCCTCTCCTCTCTCTGTCACATGCTAGGAGCCTCCATGCCCTCTAGTAAAAAAAAAAAAAAAAAAAAAAAAAATCCTATTTTAGGGAAAAAAAAAAAAAAAAAAAAAAAGTCCTATGTTAGTGAAACAGACTTAAGACTTAAGGAGGTTTATTTTATATTCTCAATTAGCACTCTTGTGCAACTATGTAAATAATTAAGTCAAATCTTATGAGACTAGCAGTTTTTATTTTAATTAGACCAGAGAGGAGGGGAAGAGAGAGAGTAAGTGAGAAAGCGAGCCCCCAGATCTGGGACTCAAAGGCAGTCACCCATATGGGAGTCTGGCACCCTTAACAACCATGCCACTTGCCAGTCCCATGATGATGTGCTTTTAAAACATTACCTTTAAATAATGTTTTCCTTCTTTTTTTTTTTTTTGTATTTGATAGAAAACTTCATAATGAAATAGAAATAGGAGAAGAATCACTGAACATTTTTCTATTTTGAGGCATCTTTCCCCTTTTTTAAGCATAGAAAGGAATTTTTATAAATTGTAGCTTGTTTGGATTTTTCTATCTTGAAAAACAAATGTGTAACTTTTTCTTTATTGGTATTGAATTAATTTACTAGTTTACTGAAGACCATAGATGGATACTATAGATCTACTCACTGATTTTAAGAAGTACCCCACTAATCGATGGGCTAGGGCTAGAGTTTATTTTTATAAATTACTGATCACTCCAGTAAATATGACTGAAAAGTCAACTTTAACTAGTAATTTTAATATTTTCATACCACCAAAAAGGATATATATATATATATATATATATATATGCAAGTATAACATGAGTTATTTTAATTGAACAGAATAACTTGAATGTTTTATAGATAACTGGCAGTTTTTATTAGCAGATGAAAACAAAGAGAAAAATTAAAGGAAGTTCACATTTGAAAAACAACATTTATAAGCAAAAAATTCAGCACAACTACCATTAATTCTATGTACACTGGATTACATTTGAACAAACACTAAATTCCAGAATGAATATGTTATGGATAAATGCACTATGAAATAACTTTAAAAAAATAACAGATCTGAATTTTTAGAAAATTAAAAACAAGAGCCAGCCTGTGGCCTGGTAGTTAAAGGAACTAGAGTTCATATGGCTAACTGTGTGATTTGAGTCCCAGACCCAGTGGCCAGACATGCCCACAATCCTGAAAGGAAGGAGAAATGGAGAAGGCATTGTGGCATGACCATTCCCCACAGGAGGTGCTTTCTCCCCCCTCCTATGTCTCTCTCTCTCTCCTTCTGGAGAGTGCACAGGCCCACTAACTGAAAAGAAAAAAAAAAAAAAAAGAACAGTAAAGTCTTTTGCAAGTAATTGCAGAAAAAAATAGCAAATATACATTTAAAAAGCTAGAAATACCCAACGTTAGTTTTTACCATACAAGTAGTTTTCTATAAACAGCATCAGACTTACTTTGTAAGTTGACACAAAGATTTTAATTAGCCCTTCAGCTTTAGGGGAGTCTAATATTTAAAAATATTACTACTAAATATATATGGGTAAAAAGTTAACACTGCTTAATCATGGACTGACACATCTGAAGACTGTACAATAAATGAACCATGACAATAAAAGAAATCTGAACTAAATATGATGGAATTTTTAAAAAAACTTTAAAATTACAATAGCATTTTAATGATAACACTCTGATAATTCAGTATTTTCCTGTCATTTATGGTTGAGACTAACAGTATGTCTAAAAGAATATTGAGATATTTGAACACTGTCAGCAATGAATTTCAACCTGTATGACTGAATAATAAATAGTTAAAAGTTCAGTTTATTAAAATTAGTAACAGCGTTTGTTCCTTTTAGTGACCGCTTGCTATAAAATTCATAAATCTGAAACTAACTTTATAATGCCCTTACATGCATAGAGACATTATTAATTATAAATATATTAACTGGAACATTTAATATGTTAATTCTTACTAACTTAGGCCATTTTCCTTGGCAATTTTAAATGAATTCTGAACTCTATTACAGCTTAAGACACAACTTATGATAAGTCATTAATATAACCCATTTTAAGCAGATTAGCACACTTTAAAAACACATGCATATAATGACTTCTCCCAAAATTAACTTTTACTAATTTGTCATTCTTGTTTACAGAGAGTTCAGTGAAAAATAGCATCCGACTTCAATGCCATTTTAATTTATTAGCAAAGCAATTTTTTCTGTAAATTTCATTATTCCATTAATAACAATTCTTATTCAATGGTATATTCAAGTTTTTCACTGTTTTATTTGATCAGATACAGTAGATCTATTAAAATGTTAATACATAGCATACGATTTACATTGTATTCCTCTAGCTGCTTTTTTTTTTCTTTAACAATCTGGGACATTTCTAAAGTCATATATCTTCATATAATAAAAGTCAGTAAAGTAATATTTTAATGAGTAAAACCATAAAGGTAGCAGACTGGCATTCATTACAGTAGTTGTTTATAATTTCTGGATTAAAATGTGATTTCATCATCAGAATGAAAAGATAAATGTGTCAAGTACACCTATTATTAAGGTATGTATCACCAAAGGTAATATACTCAGTAAAATAGTGGCCTTGAGTTTTTAAAATAAATAGTTTATGTCTTAGCATAGATGTTTCTGTTTTCTTAGTTCTCAAACAAACTTCTAATACTGACATCTGGTTGTCTTTAAAATATTTACCAAATATAGAATTCTGACTCTATTTTATTATAAAATCAGCCCAAACACAGTATCAGCTATTAACATGCATTACATTGTTGTGTTATGTATTTGCATTAAAAAAAATCTAGGTCATATGTATTTGATTTGAGACTATAACATAGAGTAGTAGAGTATTTACAAGCTCATTTTTCACTACAATTGTTTTACAATCTTCCAAGAAAATAAGAAATCCTTCATTGATTTCCTTCATGTCACATGATTGCTAATTTGTCTACACAGTAGAAATGGAAGGGGCAAAGTTTCTACTTACAAATACAGGGGAACTGATTCCCCTCGCACCTGTGTAAGACAGAAAAATAGCATTGCCCGAGATGTCTTCCTAGTGATACAGAAGTAGGAATGCAAATGATCCATTCTGTTCACCAAGTCCCAAAACAGAAATGCCTTCCCTCCCTGGGTATTACTGATACGTTAGCAAATGAGTAGCTTTACAGCAATTCTGCTCAGTTGCTATTCTTAGAGAAAAGAGTATAAGCCAACAGAGATAATTATATCTTTGTCTGGTCTATTTGAGAGGGTAATTACAAAAAGGCTAGCTAGAATACTTTCTGGGGGGAAAAGTCAATTGCACTAATGAAGATGGAATAAAGATTTAAAAAATGAACAAAAAGATCATTTTCTCTGCATGTTGCTAGCCCTAGTTAGGTCTCTTTAGGCAATAATAGAATCATGCCCACTGTGTATGTGAACTTTTACAGTCTTATTCATTTGTGAACTCATGCAGTGTACGCAGAAGCTGACTCACACCAATTCACAAGTCGATTGTCTTAATCCTTTTTTCCAATTCCACATTCAGAGATGTCAGGTTGGTAGCTTGAAATCAGCCATCGTGGGAGTATTTACTGGCAAACACTACAAATTAGGGCATTTTCTCCCCACATAAAGCTGTCGATAAACATTTATCAATCCATTATTGGTTTCATGTGTAAGTTTTCTTCATGGCATTCAAGCAATTCATTTAGTATAGTCACTTGTATAGTCATGGATCCAAGTCTTTGAGTTAAGAGTGGCACAAAACAGACAACAATCCCGCTGTTTTCAATCATATAATTTTTCTGGTTTCAGGACAACATTTTCAATGTCATGGATGCTTTTTCCATTTAAGTGTTCACTAGGATAGTCATGACTATAGCCTGGAACATCACTGATTGTTGACACTGTGTATGAGGCACTACGAAGGGCCTCGGAGTGAGAGAAGCTGTTTCCAAATTGAATTTTATATTGATTCCAGTTTCTTCTCAGAATTGCTTGAACCTATCAATCAAAAAGAAACAGAACAGGAACAATCCATTAATTGAAATTGAGATATTACATTTGAAGAACAATAAAGCAAGTTTGGTTAAAAACACGCACAGGTGCCCGGCATGAGTTTTAAGCCACTGGGTCCAGGACGCGAACCACAGTTGACTACATGGGAGTCCAGCAACATAGCCATTACGCTAACTGCTGGTCCCAAATTGTTCATCTGTTCCCATACCGAGAGTTGAACCCGGGCCGCCTGGGTGAAAACCAGGAATCCTAACCGCTAGAGCATATGGGAACTGTCCAGGTCTGGAATTCTAGCCACACATTTGCTATGTGGGATCTAGCTGCCTTAAGCACCACCCCACTAGCCTACTCTGTTCACTCTTGATATAGTAATACATTTCTAAGTCCTCCAAATAAAATATTGAAGTTAAGGTAATTTAATAATAATATCTGCATATGTAATATTTTCCACAACAAAAACAAAGGTCAAATAGAATTGTATTCAACTGGAAATTTTAAATAAGAATTCAAAGATTTAAAACAAAAAATGACTTTTGGCCAATTATTTGGAAATTTCTGATGGAAATTTTTTTTTAATCCTAATTTTTTTTACACTTATTGAATTCTCACACTGTTACCAAATGCTGGGCTCACTATACACATAATCTATATAACTAGCTTGGGTCAAAAAATGCAGAATGTAGGTTTGTATAAAAAGATTCTACATAAACATCGAAAAGAAGCTGACAAGAATAAATATCTTCTTAACCGAGAGTCTAGTACTTATAGTCTTAAAAAAGAAAGCTTAAATTTATTTCTTAAAGCCAAAAGACTTTTGAAATAGCTGACTGTTTGCCTTTGAAACATCTACTCTGATTAGGGTCATCACCCTATTTCTTCCTTGCAACTAAATCATCTCAAAAATCATGGAAAGCCAATTTCCTGAACTGTGGGATCTTAGTGACGAACGTTAAAAATAAACCTAATTAAAGACTCACAGGCCTGTAGTCTTCTGTTTGTTTATATTATCCTCTGTAAGGATGTTACATTTTTCACCAGCTTCCTCTAATACAGTATCACACTTGTTCAACAGAACATTAAAGTGGCCGCTCTTAATAAACTTTTAATGAGAAAAATTTAACGGGAAGATAACAAGGAAAATTTCCATTGGCAGGGAAGCTGACTTAGTGTTAGTTAAGATTTATGTTTTTCATTGTGTTATGAATGAGTATTATATGAGCAGTAAGACTAAAGGTTTAAAATAAACATTACAACTATGTATGCCTGTTAACACCTGATAAGAAAGCAAATCTATACCCCTCCCCTCAATCTACATCAACTAAAAATAGTCTATAGAACTTTATATAAAAATCATGCCTCGTTTTTGTTAGAGAATGTGGGTATGGTTTTTTCCAACAATTTTTTTTATGTTTATTTTATTTCTTGATCGAGAGTACATGAGCAGAAGAGAGAGCAAGAAAGAGAAAGAGAGCATCCTCTACTGTATCTAATCACATAGAGATTCGCTTTCTTCAGTTCTCCACATTCTTGGGATCCTGGGCACAGACATGTGTGCCCAATGTGTTTTGAAACCAATCAAGAGATCTGAATCTGCATTCAGGGATCTGGCTTCCAGCACTGCAGTTCGGTTTGCTACCAACTCTGCCACCAGCCTAGCCTTTCAGCAAATCTTTTGTCTGTGTCATAAAAATATCTACCTTTGGGAACCAGCAGTTAGCGTAATGGCTATGTCGCTGGATTCCCATGGAGTCGACTGCGGTTCGCGTCCCGGACCCGGTGGCTTAAAACGGCAGGCGCGTGTGTGTGCATGCCCAAGATCCCGAGAGAAGAATGGAGGAGAAGGGATTGTGGCGTGACCATCCCCTCTGGGGGATGATTTCTAGCTTTCTGTCTCTAATGTTCCTCTCTGTCTGTCTGGCGAGCCCACGTGCCCTATAGAGAAAATCTCTCCAAAAAAAAAAAAAAAAATCTACCTTTAGACATTAAGTACACCCTTCTGATGAATAGAGTTCCTAGTTTATGTTAATAGTACACATGTCTGTCTGAGTGGACTAGGGGTGAGATGAAAGTGGCCTTGTCACAGTTATTTAACTAGTGAAAAATACTAACAGGAAGATATTGACTAAAAAGTAAGTAAAGGCAGGAGGAAAGAAAAAAAAATACAGACATTTAGCTAAAGGCAAGCCAATTTGACCTCATGTGAACGGCAAGAAGGAAACCCTGCCTGATCAAATGATGCTGAGAAGTATATGACTTAGTTAAAATCATTCAAAATGCATCTGGTAGCTGTTTCTTTGTGTTATGACAGTTAGAAAGCAAAGAGGCAATAAGACACCAGAAGGAGAGATTATAGTATTTCTTAAGATGAGAAATGAATCATATCCAACCAGGGATTGTATCTCTAGAGATAAAGAAAAGTGGATAGATAGTAGAGATGTGAAGGACTGAAGGATTTGGCAACAAACTGACTCAAAGATTTTGTATTAGTATAATTTTCATTGCCAAAATTTTCTCAATTTTAGAACCTGGCAGAAGATCAAAGTTCTGTATCTCTTCAGCTTACACAAATAGAATGTAACAGGAGTGTTTGGCATTAGTTTAGATATTCTCTGGGCACTTTCTCTAAATAAAAGAGCCAATAAGAGATTTTGATTCCAATATTATTAATATTTCCATTTGTATGTGTACTTTTGAAAATGAATGATACGACATGTATTAATAATGAATCTATAATATACTGAGCAACACTGAAGTTAAAATATGGTTATGAAAAGTTTATATTCCTTAGCTTACATTAATCCTTGTGAGACTTCTAACTTTCTTTTTTTTCTTTTTTCTTTTTTTTTTTTGAGAGGGTTTTTTTTTTTGTTTGTTTGTTTGTTTTTTTGCTATAGGGCACGTGCGCTCGCCAGACCGAGAGAGAGAGAGAGAGAGAGAGAGAGAGAGACAGTGACAGAATGCAAGAAATCATCACCCCCCAGGGGGGATGGTCACACCGCAATCCCTTCTCCTCCATTCTCCTCTCGAGATCTTGGGCACACACGCACATGCGCCAGGCGTGAGTTTTAAGCCACCAGGTCCAGGACTCGAACCACGGTCGACTACATGGGAGTCCAGCGACATAGCCATTACGCTAACTGCTGGTCCCACTTGTAACTTGTTTTTATCTCTCTTTAATAATGGTAGACATGGAAGCCAGCATGTGGCTTGGCGGTTAAGGGTGATGGACCATCACATGGAAGACTGAGGCTCAAGTCCTGGACCTGGCAGCTTCCTTTCTCACTTTCTCGCTCTCTTGCTCTGTCCATCTCTGGTCAAATTTTAAAAATAAGTAAATAAAGTTAAATAAAATAATTTTTAAAAAATATTAGTAATTGTAGCTATGACTTCTGGAGGCTCTAAACATCTTCCAAATAAGTAGGGTTAGGAAATAAGTAGCATTTCTGTGTTTATTATACACTGTCATTATAAAATATTTCACTAGTGATTATGCTTTGAATATTTACAAATTGTACAGGAAGGAGATGCATTGGCTTGAAAAATTAGAATGGAATGCTTTAATTTGTAACATAGCAATGTTCTGGAGGACTATTTAGGAATAAAACCAATTTTTGTAGATACAGACTATGCATTTCATATTCCATGCATGTTCTTTGATATGTCATCTGTATCACTCTCATCTAATTGTTACATCCTACATAGGCATCATATAGGATAATCTCATTAATTGAACATAATAATACATTTGTAGAAGTATACAATAAATACTACTTGAATTTTATCATCAAAACAAATTCTTTTTCTAATTGCTTTCTCTGTCTATCCTTCTCACTGACTTCAGTCACTCTTGTTCTCTGTATAGTAGAAAAATAAAGTACCACTTAATAGTATAAGTAATAGTATAAAATATAGTTTAATGTGTTTGACAGTTTTATACTGTTTTATAAATAAGTATATTATAACTTACACCTATACTTTGAAATAATAATATATCTTAATTTTTATTTAAAATTAAACATTGAATTTTATTATACATCAAGATAATGAGAATGTTTCTCAAGCAAGGGAAAATGATATTGTATGTTTCATAAATACAATTGATAACCAGTGTTGATTTTTTTTTATAAGAATGATTCTAATAAAGAGATGTCAATGGTTCCATGTGTTCTCTACCTGAAGTTTTGTAGTAACCTTCACAGTTATCAAGTGTCCACATTTCACTCTGTTGCTAACTGTATTTCTAAATTTTGTCGAAATCCTTCCAGTGGTTAAAATTTGTAAACTAGATTAAAAACATGCAAAGCGCAGTCAATATAGTTCGAACTACTGAGCTATTACAAGATTAATATGCATGAGAAATATGGCACCGATGTTTAAAATATTTGCAATTGCCCAAGTGGAAGAGTATGGATAAAAATGTAAAAAATAATCCTACGACACATTACCATGTTATAAATTAAAGCATTCTATTGTAATTGTTCAAGCCATTGCATCTCCTTCTTGTACAATCGAGAGTTTAATTTTGAAAATCCTTTAGAATCCACTTTAAAACTCTTTCCAAAGGCCACATGTGGGGCAGGCATGAAAGAGAAAGGGAGAAAATGAGCCAATCCCGTTTCCTATTACAGTGGGTACTCTATGAAGTTAACAATTGTCTGGCATTGTATGTGGGACAAAGTCTAGACTTAATAGGCTTCAAAAAGTAAGTCAAAGTTACATGAATAGGGACCAGCAGTTAGCATAATGGCTATGTCACTGAACTCCCATGTAGTGTACTGCAGTTCGAGTCCCGGACCTGGTGGCTTAAACTCATGCTGGGTGCATGTGCTTGCGTGCCCAAGATCCAGAGAGGAGAATTGAGGAGAAGAGATTGCAGAGTGGCCATCCCTGCTGCGGGGTGATTTCTTGCTTTCTGTCTCTCTGTTTCTCTCTGTCTTTCTGGTGAGCGCACGCGTCCTATAGCAAAAACCTCTCCACAAAAAGAAAAAAAAAAATTATATGAATAAAAATTACTCATGGAATATTTTAGAGTCAGACTGATTTTTCTCTTGCCTTGATCCCCAAGTCAATCTGAGCTTTCATGAAGCGAGTTGCACGTATGCAAAGATAGGCTGTGCCCCCAACCTGATGAAAAAAGAAATTGAGCGTAATGGCTATGTTGCTGAGCTCCCATGTAGCTGACTGAGGGTCAGCCAGTGGCTTAAATTTACACTGGGTGCGTGTGTGTGCGTGCCCAAAATACCAAGAGAAGAATGGAAGAGAAGGGATTGCAGTGTGGCCATCTCCCCTGGGGGATGGTTTCTTGCTTTCTATCTCTCTGTCTCTCTCTGTCTTTCTGGCGAGTGCACATGCCCTGTAGCAAAATCCTCTCAAAAAAAATAAAAAAGAAAAGAAATTGAAATTGAAACAGTGTCTGTAGGGGAGTTTATAATTCTACCTCATTTTAAATGAAAAATATACTGAAAATGTAAAAGAGTAAAAAGAATAAATTTAATTAGCATACCTCTCCATTAAAGAAGCAGAAAATTGTAGAGACCAAAAGACCCTGTTAAAAAAAAAAAAAAAGATCAGAATCCAAATGAAAAAGATACATAACTAACCTGTTGCATAAACAGTCAATAATAAAACCAAAGCTATACATCAATTTAATGCCGAAATTCTCAAGTTGCCTTCTTAATGTCAAGAATGCCATACCTGGGGAACCAGCAGTTAGCGTAATGGCTATGTCGCTGGACTCCCACGTAGTCAACCGCGGTTTCCGTCCCGGACCCGGTGGCTTAAAACTCACGCCGGGCACGTGTGCGTGCGTGCCCGAGATCCAGAGAGGAGAAAGGAGGAGAAGGGATTGTGGCGTGACCATCTCCCCTGGGGGGTGATTTCTTGCTTTCTGTGTCTATGTCTCTCTCTGTCTGGCGAACGCACGCGCCCTATAGTGAAAATCTCCCCCCCCCCAAAAAAAAAGAAAAGAATGCCATACCTGATAGTGCATAAGGATGTGCATGATGTAGTCAAAAACCTCCTCCGCAATTCTTCCTTCAGGTCGCCATGGAAGCAGCACAAATTCAATGCCAAGCAATGGCACCAGGATAAGGGTGGCTCTCACAGCTTTCATGTAGAGATTGGATTCCGCTTGGTGGGTAACTTTTAATTTGGTGATGAGAACACGTACAATATTTAAGAGGAAAAAAAGATTCACCTAAAAAGAAAATAAGATGGCACGTGAAAATCATTTCATACTTAGTATTAAGAAGCATTATTGAAGGATTCTAATTTTATAAATCTACCATATTTAAACATACAACAGCATATTCTATAAAAATGTATAGTTGCCTCACACACACATTTGTATTTCTTAAATTGTAATTTACTTATTTAATAAGTACATCAATTTTAATAAATGTAAGCTTTAGAAAAGTAAAATTAGGCTGGAATTGCTGGGTTATATTCAGAGAAATATTTGAGTATTTTTCTCAGCTCATTTTCTCACACAATTTTTTGAATTTTTCTCTTGGTCAAAAGCTAAAAGTTTTGAACATTTGTAGGTCAAAGAAAATAATTATTTATAACAAATTCTAGAATTTTCCTTTTTTGTATTTTGTTTTGCTTTAATATGCTAAGGGAGCATCTGTGCTTGCTGGAGAGAAATAGAGGGAAAGTGAGAAATCACCACCCCCAGATCCCTGCTGGGAGCAGGGTGACACCACAATCCCTTCTCCATTCTCCTCTTGGGATTCTGGATGCACACATGCACCCGACATGCTTTTCAAACTGCTAGTCAGGGGTGGCTGGCCGTGTGGGAACGAGTCACCTTAACCACTACACCACCACCAGGCCCCAAATGCTAGTTTTTAAAGCATTGCTGGTTTTCTGTGTCCATACGATACACTTCCCAAATGTATTTTATACCATAATAAGTATTTTCATCTTTTTGGTTTATCCTTCTTATGTTTATTTCTGTAACACAAATTCTTACTTCTTGTTGTAATAATAATCTTTACAATAACTTTCCAAAATATTAATGTAGTCTTCTTTATCCTTTTGAGGAGATGGAGTCAGACACTTGAACCAGCTGTACTCCACTTAGATCATCCTAGAGCTAAAATCATTTGGGATCTTGTAGAGCTTTCCATTAATTACTCCCTGCAATCGTATATTTGTCATTTACTGTGTCTTAACAACTTTTCCCAAAGGAGAACATTCCCTTTGAAAGGGAAATGAATCTTCAAAAATGAAATGTGAGTCGGAAAGCAGAGT